TCGCCCTGCATTATATGCATTATAGTATGCGACGTAGGTTGGATCATACCGAGGGAGCAGCTCCGGGGGATGCTATTGTGAAGTGGCTGGAGGATGGTTGGAACCCGAAACTTTTGCAATGCAGAATGACCACCTGCTACGGATTGAGAGGCCATATTAGTATCCAAAGGAATACACACTATCTAATGTACTTGATGGATTGTTTGAAGAATGGGGTACGGAAGAGGATGTGGTTTGGAGCAGGCATCGAAGTCCATGTAGTACAGATCGCGGGGTCAGTTGGATAGTTACATACAATGTACATCACTACATGTGTATGTACCAACTTCGGTCTATATCCCCTAGGTAGGTATGCACATAATGTCCGAGTCAGGATCCTCCGAGTGGTTTGTGTAGCAAAGTCCCGAGTTCAAGTGTATTTATCCTCCTCGACTGCAGCTCAATGTATGTCAAAATAATAGATTGAAACAGTAGCTCGACGAAATCGGATAAGTTGTGGCTAGCCAATTAGTCCTCTCCTTTCGATATCCTTGGTTCGCCCTGTTCAAGTACATTTCCTAGGTGTTCATCTTGATATAACCGGACAGATGAAGCACACCATATAATAAAAGATTTAGCCATGACTAGGCTTTTCTATATTGGAATCTTAATAGAAGCATTAAGAGTGTTTATCTATTTATCCCAAGGGAGCAGGGGAGGAGCCATATAACACAATTTATAGATGTTGTTGTAAAACAAGTAAAAGGATGGAAAGTCGATGTATAGTATCTCCCCACTATATATCGCTGCGTGGCCGTCTCTTCCAAGTATTCTCAACAACACACCACGAGCTATCACCCACCCACCTTGAATGGCGTACTACACAAGCAGAACTCACATATTTATCCTTTTGAAAAACGTTCATAATCCGCGTCAGCAGACATCCGATGACGTTGCATACTAATTTGTCTAGAGTTTAATAATCCTTCAAGATGAGGTCAATAACCTATATCCAAGGCTGCTCATCAACCAGCACATCCCCAAACTAGAAGGGTATTGACGGCTATCCCTTTCTTTGAATCAAACGAAGATGAAGGCATTGCAAGTTGTGTTCCAAGCATCCGTGGACCCCGGAATCCGCTACTAAGCGGGACTTCCCGCGGGGCAAAAAAGACGGCGATGTCGGGTTGACTCAGCGGGCGATTCTAAAGTTTTGATCTTTACTGACTTATATACGCCGCGGCCTCGCCACATCTTGCCCTAAAAGTGATCGCAGGAATCCCAATTGCAGCGTACATACATCACAATGAGCAAAATAGACACCCGTCTGAACGTCTCCCCGGTGCCTCCGGACGAGATCTTTGCTCTGAACGGGGCCTACGCCGTCGATCCCCACCCGCAAAAGGTTAGCTTGGGCGTGGGTGTCTACCGGACAGACGATGGAAAGCCATGGCCCCTTCCCACCGTGCAGAAGGCCGAGAAGGAGCTGGTGGTAGACGACGACCTCTTCCGTCACGAATACACTGCGATCGAGGGCGATGTGCCTTTCCTAGGAATCGCGCGGGATCTGATGTTCGGATTTGAGGGCAAGCAGGGCGAAAACGAAGCAAAGGCACGCATTGGTTCTGTGCAGACCGTTGCTGGTACCGGTGCTAACCATCTCGGCGCCCTGTTCCTTGCCCACCACATGAAGCCTCCCACCGTGTGGCTGTCCAACCCATCTTGGGCCAATCATCAAACCATTTGGGAGCTGGCCGGTGTGCCCCGGAAGACATACCCGTACTACCATGCCGCAACCCGGTCATTCGACTTCGAGGGCATGATGTCCTCCCTTGAGTCCGAGGCACAGGAAGGCGATGTTGTGCTACTGCACGCCTGCGCGCACAACCCCACCGGCCTGGATCCCAACAAGGAGCAGTGGGTTGCCATTGCTGACCTTTGCGAGCGCAAGAAGCTCTTCCCCTTCTTCGACTCGGCCTACCAGGGCTTCGCGTCGGGCTCTGTCGAGGAGGACGCTTGGGCCGTCCGTTACTTCTTCAACAACAAGCCGGACATGGAGATGTGTGTAGCACAGAGTTTCTCCAAGAACTTCGGTCTGTACGGCCAGCGCGTTGGTGCGTTCCACTACTGCACCAACCGCGCCTCAACCACCATACGCGACATCGTTGTGAACAACCTATGCCACCTGATCCGCGGCGAGTTCTCCATGGGCCCGCGTGTTGGCTGCAGCATCGTCAAGAAGGTTCTTACTAGCGAGGAGCTTACTGCCGACTGGCACCAGGACTTGCAGGTTATGAGTTCGCGCATCAAGGCCATGCGCAAGGCTCTATACAGTGAGCTAGTCCGTCTACAGACACCCGGCACTTGGGAGCACATCATCCAGCAGGTAAGCTATCTGGATTTTACTATGTGTAACATACTATTTACTAATTTTTTATTAGAACGGCATGTTCTCCTACACCGGTCTTTCCCCCAAGCAAGTCTACGCCTTGAAGGACAAATACCACATTTACCTGCTCAAGTCAGGCCGTGCATCTATCAGCGGCCGTAAGTACCCCAAATCATGCATACTCATAAACACGAGCTGACATTGTGCACAGTGAGCCAAAAGAACGTCGCCTACGTCGCACAGGCGATTGACGATGTTATTCGCAATGAGAACTAAATTCGAAACGAGTCCCAACTGGATTTGTTTTGAACTTCATTTTGTTTAGGCTTCCTCGACGTGCATTTTGGTCTCTCAAAAGGGGCTGAGCTTTTTTTGCCGACTACTACTGATTTTGCATCTGGCGGGCCCATCTGATTTACGACGTTTCATGATAGAATTCCAATTTAGAGACCCATAGCCATACGTGCAATTTTGGTGTTCTTACCTACAATATCTCATCTAGGCAGTCTCCAAATTTCTATATAGGCAAACCGAATCAATCGAGTCAGTGAACAAGGCTGCATTAGGTAAATCAAATTGCGTACTGTACACATAACAGCGAACACGAAACACGAGAAAGAAAAATGAGAAGTCAAAGTCGGAGCACGTTCGTAAGAATCCTATGGGTTGTCCGCTTAAGTGAAGAGACATGCCACTAACCACAACGAGGTAAAACTGTACTGGATAAAGTCGTAGACGCTGGTCGACAAGGGGGAAAAAAGCAGGGTAGGGATGTCAAGAGATTGACCGTGAAGCAAGGATAGAGCAGGGTAGATCATCAGAGAGCCATTCAGAGAGGCACTTCGTTGAAGTCACCCTCGCCCTCTTTGCCTTTGCCCTTTGCGCCTCCGAGATTTGCTGATTCGGAGTCATCCTCGGGCCTGTTCTGTGGAAGTGTCTGTTCCTTCTCTGTCTCTTCATGGCTCTCCTCTGCGGCTTCGGCTTCAGGCTCCTCGTCCTTCGCCTCTGGAATAGGTGCTGCTTCTGCCTCCCCATTCCGAACAGGCTCATTTGAATCCTCGGCTTCATCTTTGGGCGGGGGTGGAGGAGGCGGGAGGTCATCTTCTCCATCTTGTGATTCAACCTCCTGTGTCTGTGTCTGCGCCTGGAGTTGGCCACTCGTCTCACCCCCAGGGAATGGAGTCAGAGGAGGCTCCTCGGGCACCTGCTCTGGTGCAGGGCTTCGTTGGGGCTGAGCGCTGAGTCTTCCTTGGTTTGCACTTGTCGCAGTCGAAAGAGTAGAGGTGGTACGCTGGTGGGACGAGCCGTGGATCACGCCCAGTTGACGGGCCTTGGGGTCTGCATTGAGATAGTAGCCACGTACACCGGCAATGGTGCCCTCTGTCTCACAAGCATCCACCCACTCCGGAACCACGACAGGAATATTCATCTCCACAGCTTTCTCCCACTGCGCGCCCCGTCCTTCTGTGCAGACGAAGTGAGTGGTGTCGATACGGACCGAGTCGATCATCTTGCCTCCAATGCGGTCCAATGCAGCACCGAGAGCCTCCTTCTGCTGCGGATCGAGGATACCCGTTGTGACAGTGATACCGGAGAGATCAGTCATTTTGTGTGTGCGACACGTCAGCTTCTCCGACTGGTAGGTGCCAGCGGTGGTCCGTAGGACCAGATGGAAAGAGTACTCGGAGTGAATGGCCAGGCCGCTGATTTTTGTGCTGCGTGTCTCAAGCGGGCGGGGTATCGAGCCGGCCTTGGAGCCATTGCGGTAGAGGGAGAGTGATTTCAGGGATGCAGTGGCTAGGTCGATTGGGTCCCACTCGAGAACGAGTGAGGTCTGGGTTGCATTTCGTAGGCGCAGAATCGGTGGCGACGGGGCCTTGACTCCATACGTATTTAGGATTCGCTTCTGGAGGGATTGGAAAGCAGTTGCGCTCGCTGCTTCGGCGGCATGGTTGCGCGAAACAGTGATATCAACAATGCTGCCTGAGCTAATGTTGTTCGGGAGGAGGACTGAGGGGAATTCAATCTGCGCGGAGATTTGTCAGTAAAATGCGTCTGTTTGTTATTGATGTTCCAGTAGAATTGTATGTCGTCGATGCCTGGGGAGTAGGGAGTAGGCGACCAGGGGTTTGAACTTACGAGTCGATTGTCTTGGGTGAGGAGCACTGCGACACCCGCGTCTACCTTGCCAACTGTCAAAGAAACCAGCATAGCGAGGATTAAAGAAGGGGAGGTTTAGGATAAGTGGTGGTTGTTGTCAAGTGAATCTTTAGCCTAGACCCCCGGGTCGTTGATTCCGCCAGATCGGCATTTAGCGAGATATGTACGGGGGCCAAGATACTCGCGCTTCTATATTTACTTCTGTACCTCGAAGTCAACAACGAACAATTATTTTCAAAATGGAGGGTATAATGAATGGAATGAATAAGAGTTGAGATAACTTGAATCTCAGATGCAAACTAATTTCCCCAAAACGCCATAATCGCGATGTCGTCCAGATGATGCACGGTAATATAGTCCAACGGTCGACTGCTAGTATACAAGATGTTATGATAATATAGTACATTGAATTGCAAAGGGTCGCCCAATTTGCCCTGGCTTCACCTTTGCAGTGTGGCTCATCGACAATAGGTCATTTCCGTGGTGACTTATGTTCCAGAAGCAAGGAGATTAGATGATCTGCATCCTTTTGGACCGTCTCGAAGTTCTGAGCCACACACGGCGGCTGAACGTAGATGTCCATGGTTCCCGACAAATTTCTCTTCCGCAAAGGAGACTCAGAAACGAGCGGTTTCCCCATCTTATCCAATCCTTGCCGCCTCAGAGCCTGCTCGATAGCAATTCGCACTCGGCGTGCGCACCAGGAGCGAACCACCCGCTTGCTTTGCTGGAGTGATGACACCGAGACTCGCCACCATAATGTGTTTCTTTCACGATGTGCGCAGAGATCGACAATTTTGGGCCGGATCGGATGGGTATGGGAATTCACGTAGCGTGCAGCAACAGGAGGGGTGTTGCATCTAGGCCAATACCGAAGCACCAGGCTGCTCGTAGATGTGCCAAACTTCGTCGCCATGATAAATAAAAGGGCTATCGGTGGTTGTGAAGGTATGCTGGTTTGGACTGTGAGATATAAGGAGAGTCGTAGCACATTGATATCATGTCGGATTGGACTCCACAGAATATTCAACAGAGCCCGCGAGAGCCTATGAAGACTTCGGAGGAACAATCGAAGGTTCAGAATACAGCTTCAGAGAGATATCATCGAGTCAACAAGAAGAGTTTCACGAATGTATTGTGAATGTACTCGGGAGGCGCCAAATCTTCGGAGATTGCGGGTCTCGTGCTTGCTTGTCAGGATGGCCGCACGGAGGGCAAGACAGCTGTAATTGAAACGAATATTCAGACTCTTAGCAGATCTGACAGCACCGTATATTGCAAAGCCTCAGGGAATTCCTCAGAAATGCCCCTGCAAAACTTCCGAGCTTGACATTGTTTCTTTCTCGCCACTCTTTTTCTGCCAATCGAAGACCAGGCGGTCAAATCTACCCCAAAATTAGGCACCAAGGCAGAAATTTACAGTAAGCGGGGGCAAAATCACTGACGCCACTGGGCAGCTAGTGCCTGATTACATAAGAAAAAAGATTTGAATACCGTGCACAGAACCCCCACCTCCTTCTTTCTTCCACTCTCCCTTCCCTAATCAACTTCGATTAGGACTCTTCAGATCTTCATTGATCTACAGAAAAAAATCGACAACAGAGAGACTTGACCAGGTGAAGGTCAGCACAAACCGCTATGCCCAAGAATAAGGGAAAGGTAAGCGCGCAAAATATCCAGCCCCTCCTGTTGATGATAATTTCCTCGCCACATCCACCGTCTCCTAGTCAAGGGTAGCCACCTACCCTCGACGTGACTTCTTGGACTCGTGGAAGGGTTTTCGCTTTTAAGCCACCGATATTACTTTATGTGACATATTCTAACAACCAAGTATAGGGCGGTAAGAACCGTCGTCGCGGAAAGAACGAGAACGACAATGAGAAGCGTGAACTTGTCTTCAAGGAGGAGGGCCAGGAGTATGCCCAGGTCGTGAAGATGCTGGGCAACGGTCGCCTAGAGGCACTCTGCTTCGACGGCGAGAAGCGTCTGGCCCACATTCGTGGCAAGCTTCGCAAGAAGGTCTGGATCAACCAGGGTGATATCATTCTTCTCTCGCTCCGTGACTACCAGGACGAGAAAGGTGATGTTATCATGAAGTACACTGCCGACGAGGCCCGTTCTCTTAAGGCCTACGGTGAGCTGCCCGAGCACGCCAAGATCAACGAGACCGATACCTACGGTGGTGAAGGCCTGGACGACAACGTCGAGTTCGACGAGGACCGCGAAAGCGAGGACGAGAAGGAGATCGATGTCGACGAGCTCTAAGCTCATCCCCTGCTACCCCCAGAGTTCGATGCTCTGCCCTGCAAGAATACCCCGGATACATTCCTCCTCGGTATTCTCCATGTTCGCCAAATCCCTCTCCTCCTACTCGCCACCGTTGGCACAGTGTCGTCGCGCTCATATGCTCCGAAACTGCCTTTGACTACTTGCCACGCGAGGTACTTTCAACATCCGATTCCCTCTGTACATTCGTTCGAACGGACCAAGAGCATCAATCACCTCAGCCTACGACGCTGCTCCTCACCTCGGCTTGCATGACGATAGGGACACCCTTTCATTCTGGCGCTACTGCGACAACCTTTACGGGCTTGAAGCCATCGAACAGAGGACAACCCTCGGTGTTTGTCAATTGGCGATTTTGGATTTGCCAAGGTTGATCGATCCTCGATACCATTTTCGTCCTTTTTGCAAATATCTTGGGATCATGACAGAGACTAAACATGATTGCTTCGCACACATCATGAACCTGTGTGCTTGTTTTCCTGCATTGCATTGCATGCGGTGTGTTCACTCTGCTCAGCCTCGACTTGCTTTTCTTTCGTTCTTTTATGATAGAGTCATGAAATGGGCCACGAGAATTGAAAATATTATTTTTACACTTGCTCTTTTCTTTCCAAGGTTGTAGACTACTTTAAAGAAGAACATATCAAAGTGAGTTGTCGTAACTAAACTCCAGTCAATTTCAGCCCATGTTATGTACAGGCGAGGTAGTTATATCTTAGATGTGTTTACGTTCAATTTCTACAACTATTCTATGTACGTTCTTCTGCCGAAATATCAATCGGATCAAGAATCCAAACTGCCCTTCCCCTTAGTTGATCCCTCTACACACTGTTCATTCCCAAACATAGCCTTTGCCGCAGCCTGCCAAACGGTCTCCCGTTCCAAATAATTATCCAGCGTATAGAAAAGACGACATTCAGCAGCCTCATAGACAAACTGCTGCGGTGTCTGACCATCTTCCGGGTCATACTCGTTCCGCAGGTTCAGGTTGCCACTCCACTGGAGCGACGCTGTCGTGCTCGGGCTGGACTCGTTAAATGCCTTCCACTCGGCAGATGTCAGGAGTGGCGATCCACGGTTAGCCGAGTCTCTAATCAACCCATTTGCTTGCTCGATATAGCCGTTGATATAGTTGATCCCGAGTGACTGTCCGCCCTTGACGCCGCCGACGCCCTGCATGGGCGCCTTTTGTGGACGGCCGCCGAATGTGATTGTGCGGACGCCCTGGCGTTTCATCAGCTTGACGAAGAACGCGCAAGTGGAGACACAGTCGCCGTCTGTGATCTGTTATTGGAGTTTGTGTTAGTCAGTCTTCTCTTTTTCTGTGTTCTTCTGTGGCAAAACGATCACTTACAATAGCGATGTTATCCGCCGAGAAGAGTGATTTGCTTGGGTTCAACGGAACTGGCCCGTATCCGTTGATGGGGAAGTTCTTCGAAGAAGTGGAGGTGTAGTTGAAGTTAGCTAGTAGGCTAGAAGCAGAGCTTCCCAGGATTTCGTGCGGCCCGTAGAGATCTTCCCACGAACTGAAGTCGGTTTTCTGGTCAGGTCGAACCATCTGCCGATACGCGAAAACATTACTCGTGTCCGTACTGTTGCCGCCCGCGTATGCTTTTGTGAGGTATTTGGCTGCATCGTGTGCTCGGAACCTCGTCGCTGTGTATGGGACAACATCGGGGAAGAATATACGGGACATGTCGATGCCAATAGACATGTATCCACCGGGGTTGGATGAGAGGTCAATCAAGACATTCTTCTTTCCAGATTCAGTGCTGTTTTGCAAGAAGTCAACCGCAATCTTAGCAGTCTCTGGTGCGCTGGATGAGAAAGTGGGCAGAAAGATGATTGCTGTATCCTCCAGGCCTGATAATTTGGAGTAATATCCAGCAATTGAATTAGCTGAGTTGCGCCAGGTAGTGGTGGGGAATCCCGCTATCTCGGAGGAGGCCTTTTCGGCGCCGGATGGGCTGCTCGAAGCTGCAGACAGGTCTCGAGGAAGACACTCTATCTCGTAGAGATGCGTGCCATTTTCATACGAAAAAAACTTTTCGCTCGGTGTGGCTGTTTTCTCAATGGTCTTTTCAGTGCCATTTCCAAACTTGAGGGACAGTTGAGCGCCATCAGTCCAGTCTCCAATGGAAGCCCATATTCCATTCACACTAGTCGGAGTGTTGGTGACGCTGCGGGCTGGCGCCGGAAATACTCGATTGTACCTGCGACAGTTAGTGTGGTCCAATACCGAAGTTGCAGAAGGCTACCTACTGTGCATCGCGATCCTGGAGGTTCTGATCATTGGCATATGATTCAAGGTATGTAGCCACGTTGGTGCCATTGATGGACACTAGAGGCGAGACGGTGTCTGGGTCATCCTTCTGTAGTTTCGCATCATCTGACATGTTAGTTCGACGTTTTTAACAGAGATATAGTGCCTTACATACCTAAAGCGTACACCTGGGGAAGTGCGAGCCCATCTGTTGAGATTGACACTAGAGGCATATCGATTTGATATGTGAAGATTGACTGCGAGCATAGCTGGAAAGCTAGGTGACCATCATGGGCCGTTTTGACAAGGTGGTTAATTTCCAAGTCCATCTCAAATTGGCTGGTATAGCTGTTGCTTTTGGCCCTGTCTGTAATTGTATCGATTTCCCTCATGATATCCGTGGAGGGCATAGTATAGCCCGATGGAGGATCTAACAATACAAGTTAAGCAGGATAGAAGACTGTCATTTGAATTGATATCACTTACCCTTCAAAATATCGATCGTCGACTGGAACTCGAGGATCTTGCGAACCTGAATAAGGAAATCAACGGCGCGATCCGAGTCAAAGGGCATAGATAGCAGACATCGATGAGCCAGATCATGAGGCACAATGGCATTCGCTGCGACCGTTAGTGACCACCTAATTGATGTTTTCGAGTCCATGACGTACTCTGGTCTTGATTGGCGTCTTCCACCAACTTGCTAACCTGAGCACATGGCTCAACATCGCGTATACTCCTGGTAGCACCGACAACAGCCGCCAAAGCGACCGGAGTCAACACGGTCTTTAGATGCATGGTGATAAGTTGAAGACTCAGGAGTCTGCCATAATATCTCTGGCCCCAAAGAGACCCATTACCATCTCCACTCTTTCTCAGGGGCCCTTGCTTCGGCTGTCGACTGGGGGTTGTTCTGTTTTTAGCTGATCTGCACGATCGTCGCCAAGACGGAAAGTTGTCTTATGGGGTAGACCAGGTTCAAATGTTCAAATGTTCAACTGTTCAAATGTCCAAATTGATCGAGAGAGCCCAGAACTCGGATTTCTCGGCTGCTTGCTACTTTTTATTTTCTTTTTCTGGCCGATTTGAGCAAAATATGGAGATGTGATGGGATGATGTAATTGTATTTGTTACACGTTACCGCATTTGTTGACGTACACACACACCTGGGCAGCCTGTTTGTGAATTTATTACTTGCATCGAACTCATGATTGGATTTAAAAATGAATGCACTGGAGACTTCAGACCGGATCCCCCACTAATCAAATACGCTTTTCTGGAAGAAACCAACGATCTTACGTGCAGCTTCTTTGCCAACCAGTGGATCCAGCTGCTCGACATCCATGTTGGCGATATCACTAATATTATCCGTTTCGATGATCAGCCGCTCTAGAGCTTGGGGTGTAACACCCGGAACAGCTCGCAACATGTCTTGTGGAAGAAGATTGAAGGTACGGTGCTCAATCCCAGCGGCTGCCATGACGTCGGCAGAGCCAGACGAATTAGATATATCAATATCAAGGCCGAGCTGAACTGCACGGAGTGGGTCTGGCTCTTGGGCGTTCTTTTTAAGCTCTGCAAAAATCTCAGCTGTCTGGTAAGGGGATGAAGACCAAACGATCTTTAGGCGTGGGAAGGCGAGAGTGAGGAGCACAAGTAAATGCTGAGCGGACTTTGGATTAGACGGATTGGCAAGTGAGCTGCTGCTAGTGCTGGTTGCAGTGCCGGAAGATGAGAAACCATAGTCTGTCATAAACGTGGGCCCTGTTGGAACGGAGGCGAACGCATCAAAAGTGAAAGATTTGTTTTGATCGAACTCGATCAACAGTAACGGGCTCTTGTAATACTGCAACATGGTCTCGGCCTGGTTGTAGAGGCGGCCGTTCTTGAGCGAGCTTATGAGATCACGGATCGATTTCCTTTCGACACAAATGTCTGGAGTGAGAATGTAGTCACCCACGGTGAGCTGGCAGGGAATCACAATCATGTTGTTTCCATGTAACAGAGATGGTAGAGCACTTCGGAATTCCCGCACATCAACTACAACCCGAGGAGGGGATGCTGTAGCTGCTAGTCGTCCTCCTCCAGCAATACGAGTGTTGACTGTCCGGAGGAATTGCTCCTGGGGGTCTTCAGCCTTTTTGTCATGCGTCAAGGTGACTGCCATGTTCTGAAAACCACGTTAGCAAGTAGTTTGAGGTGTGTAGCTGGGTAACTTACCCCCTTCTCTTTGATCAGCTTTGTGAATGAGTCTTTCTCTCGTCGGACAGCACTCAGATACCGCTGTTCCTCGACAGAGCCACCATAATACATGAAATAAACCTTCACGTTTCGCCCCGAATGGGAACTGCGATATACCTCAACCCTTCGAATGAACGCGGGATCAGGTTCGTACATGATAACGTATCGCGGACGTGCTTCCTCAAGTATATGCTCATCCATGTCACCGTCGTAAGGGTGTATCAGGACCAGATCGTTCATATCGTACAATTCGTAGAAATCTTCCATATCCTCCAGTTCATCGACAATAACTTCCTCTTTCTGCATTTCTTCCACCTTGGTAGGTTGAATCTCGCCTAGTAAGCTGACGACCTGACCGGGCAATTCGACTTCGGTTTGGACACTGCTACTTGGCACACGACCTGCAGCTGAGGTGACCGCGCCGCCGCCACGTACTCGACGACGTTTGTTTGGGGGAGGCCGTCCTTGATGCACACTTTGGGCCGCTGATGACTCAGAAGGTTTTCCAGACCTTTCGTCCTGTACTGATTGGGACAAATTTTTGTTGACATTTGAGAGAGACCTCTTCCAATTGAGATAGTCTCGCAGCCGACGCCGCATCATAAGCTCCGCAGAAGGCTTGTCCTCGCTAGGATCATCCTTTTCTTCTTTGGATTCAGACCCTTGGGCAATTTTGGAGTGCATAGTGCCAATATACTCGCGAAGCTGGCGGCATATTCGTTGATCACTACACATAATCAATATGGTGCTATTTGATTGATCCATTCTCGCAGGATGGAGGTAAGCATCGTGTTCGATTTCGGCAAGGACATCTGATAGGACACTCCACTTTGGCAGTTCCTCTAGAGCCGGGTTCAACTCAGAAGAGAATGTCGTTGAAGATGAAAGGCGGGTCAGTTCGTTGTTCAATTTACCTTCGTAGACCCGTGATTTGGCGGTCTGGAAAAGAACATGGGCAGCATCGAGGAAAAGCCACGGAGAGTAATTATGTCTGTTAGAGCCGGGAGGCGGAGCATGCGCAGACACGATAGTATCAAGGTACTTGACAAAAGATACCGCATCGTAGCTGAGTAAAGCACTGCAGAGCTGTCAGTATAAATAAATGAAAAGACATGGGGGAGAGACACACTGAAGGACTTCTCGTAGGTTTGTCAAATCACTGACAATTTGTCGTGTCCTGAAGCTCACACGATGCCAAATTGGGTCTAGTTGACGTCTGATAATCATATCAAAATTCCTGTGCAAAGCACTGTCCAACGTCCACTCTTCCATATCCAACCCAGTGTTGCTTTTCCTGAGCTCAGTGATACTGATCTCTACACATTCCAGAACAGCATTCTGAATTTCCCTCATTTTGTCGCTCATAGGAACTTCCAACTCGATCACTTCTGCCTTGCGGTTTCCTTCTAGGGACTCAGCAACAGAAACATGGAATCTAGGCCACAGTGATGCCTTGCGTAGGAAAAGGTTGCGCAGCATATTAGCCAACGGGGCAAAGCCCATCGTAAATGGTTCCGGGGAGTCTGAGAATGCTTTCAAGAAGCCACGCTTGTTCGATTGCCGGTAGACCCGGACAATAAAAGCTTCGAGGGATGTCGCCAAAACCTTATCAGCATGTAAAATGACCATCCCAGTGACCTTCTCGGGATCAAGAAGTTCTAGAAAGATCAGCGAGTGTCTTCAGCCATTATACTAAAACATACATACTCGATAACAAGTCCACAACCAATATTCTGGATGTCACACTCAGAATACCTCCTTCGCCATATATTCTCTCCCTGGCAATTCGTCAATACACACCGCAATCGACATAGCGGAGACGAGAAACCCACCGCATCGGCACCGTAGCTTTCTCGGTATTGATCACTTTCAACCCCCTAGCAAGAGGAGACTTGCTGGTAGCATAATGTTCCGCCAATGCTGGTTTTAGGATCCATCAGCTTCCAACACGAGCGTCCGGCCTGGAATGTACACTGATCCACATACCCTCTCCGATCCATTCATTCTCGCGTTCATCTGCACCCACCACCAAAACCAAATTGTTTCCCGCCGCATCGTAGAAATGGAGGAGATTTGTGATTAGGTGTAGAAGCCCTAGGCCTCGTGCAAGGATGACTAGCTCATCTTCGGCGCGTAGTTCGGTGAAGAGCTCCTGCTGGTATTGCTTAATGGGTGTTAGTGGTAAGCCTACTCAGAGATGGTGAAATACCTACCAGTGGTAGAGACAGCTTCACCGGCACATTTGACCGTTCTGGAGGCATTGGGAGCACTTCCTAACGCGTTGAGGAGTGAGGGGCCCAGTCAATGAGATGTCGCGTGATCACGTGGTGCTAAGATGTATGACGTAATGAATCAATCAAGAGATCCTTGGTTGGGAGTAGACAGTAGACGTAGCCTAAGAAAAGAAGCTGAATTACAAAAAGGACATTTGTTCTATTCTGCGTCTGCTTTGTTTTATAATTATCAGGCAGCTAGGTACTCTCCGTATTGCATGCATACTAGACCTAGTTTGGGTTATAACCCGCACTCGACTTGGGCAATTGCCTAGAATGGCGGAAACTGCTATTCAACGAGATACCGAGATACAGATAGAGATAAGAAAAAATGTTAATCAATGGCCTCTCAGTTGGAAGACTCATTCAGTTCCTTCGCGCGTGCTTCGAGCTCCTCTTTCGAAGCCTTGGGAGGCATATCTACAAAGTGTCAGTCGTGGGCCTGTGTAGGTCTGATAGTCAACTTACTGTCTGGAATCTGAGGTCCCTTTGATACGAAGTCCGCTGCAGTCGCTTTCTGGGGCTGTTGCCCTGGCTTATCCTCGGCCTTATTGCCTCCCTGTTGGGGCGCAGATGGGAAGTCGGACGACTCGGGGATGACCGGCATTTTGGAGATATGGAAGACCTTTTTGTTGAGTTACCACTAGCCAATACTAGCTCTCCTTTGCTGGTAGATAGATGGAATAAATTTGGTGATTTTGTTGATGGTGAGTTGAAGAAAATGGACTTGAAAGTTGGTCGGATGTTCTGACTTATATAGATCCTAGGCGCGATGACGTCGGTGGTCAGATTGCAACAAATAGCATGATAGAAGTTAGAAGTTGCCTAAAACTGTTCACTTGTCCATAAAATCCCTAGAAACAAGAACAAAATGCAATTGTATCTATAATTTAATGATTGTTTTAGTAGGTACATTGGGGGTACGTCGTAGAATAACTATGATTTGATTAAAATATTAAAATGCTAGTCATGATATTAATATGAAAGATTGAACACCACGAGGAAGAAAATTGCTTTAATTTAAGAGGGTATACACTAGTTAGCACTCTACCTAGTTGCGACAATGATCCATACATATATGTTGTATGCTACGTACAACATAACTACCTAACTAACTAGTTAGGTAGCTATACGTACTTGATCTCCTCTGCCAGGTGGGACTTTCCTATCTTAGCCGCCGCCGCTTTTATTGGCGATCCCCCGAAGAGGATGGCCAAGGAGATCAGCAAATGGAGGACGCTCCGCAAGTGCAACAACAGGATTCTCCATACCTTTTCCGCAGGCCACGTCGGTACACAATGGACTCACAATGACTTACCGGAGAAGGGAGCCAACAAGTGAAGACTACTGAATATTACAAAGAAACATTCTACAAAGAAGACTACGAAGGAATCTTTGTGAGAGCAAGCAGTTTCAATATTCGGTAAGTACTCATCAAAGGAACTAACTAGAGATCAGCGATGTGATCAGCCCAAACGGCATCTACTTCTCCACCTGACAAAGTCCTATCAACTGCTTCCTGTCCACGAAGGGACGGACTCCAAGCCTCGAAAATTCCGCTGAACAAGTCCAATGCTAACCCGTAACTGAGCCATTTCCTCCTGCAACCGTGCCTCCATCAACAAAGGAACGTTTTGGGAAGCTTCAAAAAGTTCACGAGTAAGCACAGAACGCCAAGTAGGGGTAAGCATACCGCTTCCTGCAACACCTTAGCACTGGAATCGACTTCTTCGGGCTCTTCAACACGGGGACGAAGGGGTAAAGGAGAAGAATGGTGGGGACTTTTTATATTGGCTTCATGCCAGATGTTGCCAGATTGCTCTTTGACCGGTATTGTAACCGGCCAAATCCCACCAAAAACCCTGACGACCTCATGGCGTATGTTTCCGGATTCTCAACCTACCACAGTACGATAACATGGGACCCAAAGAAGCACTATCTCATGTCGGTCTTTCTCGTCAGATTCAAGATGCAATCACGGACCCAAGATTCTCACACATTTTCGGTACTCAGACCCTCGCTCACTGGGCCAACGATACTGTTGAAACCAACTATGCTGCTCTTCTCAGTCAACAACGACTGTTCCAAAGTCACGCCAACCAGCGCATAGGTCATAACAGAAAGCACAAACAGCCCCGACATGAGCCTCGCCGACATGAACAAGGCCCATCCCGGCAGCAATGCAAGTATCGGCTGCGGGGCATCTCCTTGCTGCAAATAGGCGGTACTCTTCGGCCGTTTCCTTTTCGGGTGTTTAGTAGTAAGCATTGAAATTCCAGTTAAAACCTCCGCCGGGGCGTGTTCTGAGTGTACTCAGGTTGACTGTCCCATCACTCTCAATAATGTCACCCGGTTGGCTCAGTCCAACATGACTTCCCCCTTGTATAGAGAAACGTGACCGCCGAGGATATCGGCATCAGGCTGAACAATCACGTATGCTTCCGGGAATTGGAAATCTTGAGGTGTTATGTTGATCGTTGCTGTCACAGATTGTTCACATTCAGGTTCCGCAGTCATTCGTTAACAGCCTCCGCTGCGAGGACCTATGGTATTCACCCAGCTGGAAAGAGTACATGTGGACATCCAGGAGAGAGCAAATGCCTGACCCAAAAAAATTCGACTATCTGTGGAAACTTGGGCAAGCCGATATTGTTCGCGGCCCTATCTGTTCTGCCATCAGCACAAAGATAGCCCGCATCCGCAGAGAAAACGTCCAAAGTCGTATCAGTGAGGACCATGTCATGCGGTTGCCATCTGGGAAAAAAATCATCGTGGTGGGTCTTCGTCCAAGATGATGCGGTCAATCAGTTGGCAGAGCAGATCCGAGGGAAGATGCACCTCGTCATTTTTGAAGCCGCATCGCGTTTCCCCAATTGACCAGATCCCCCATTTGCTCCTGTCCTTGCTCACAATACGTTAGCTAGTTAGTTTAGGAATGAAGTGAGGTCATCTTCAAATAGTATAGCACACATTGAAATGGGCACGCTAGACCGCATTCCGTAATCCCTCATCACTTATGAAGAGCCTGTCAACAATACTCTATTAATTTGTATTTTCAAGATGTTTGGTTTCGGATTTGAGATATCAAAATCTCAAACAGAAAACTCCCAAGTAACATATGTACGTAGTGACCTTATCCACACTTTAAATAGTACAAGAAAAGTACCACGTGCCGGTATGGCGGTGCTGCGGTAGGCCTAGGTCACTCCGGTGTATATTGGGTCCGCCCCGCCTACGTCTTCTCACCTCCGGTTATCCTCTCCAACTCTCAAGGCAACCGCCGGTCGGCTCCTCTCTACAGCACCTCAACTCTCGAATCTAATCAATCGAGAAAGAAACTCTGTACCTTCCACCACTACCGTATCAGTCGGTGTGTTGAGGGCGCCAGTCCATCCTTCGAAGTCACCCGCCCGGCTGCAATGTGTGCTCTACACACATAACCACCCTTCGAACTATCACTTTTCCCCTCTCAATTTAGTGGGGGATCACCTCGATTCACCATGCCCTCCATTCTAAGTGACGCCGACAAGGAAACTGTTAAGCGGAATGTCCCCAAACCCGCCAACAAGATCCTCGCTGTGGCTGTCGCGCGACTCTACGTCGCCTATCCGGATGCACAGAAATGGACATATACCGGAATTCAAGGGGCTGTCGTCCTCTGCAATGACCTTGTGGGAAGGACTTTTTGGCTTAAAATTGTCGATGTCTCGGTAGGCTGTCCACACTGGAGTCGGAGATAAGACTAAAAGTGCTGACAATGCGTTATGCAGCCCGCTGGTAAAGGCGTGATCTGGGATCAGGAGATCTATGACAACTTTGCTTACAACCAGGACCGAACCTTCTTTCATACATTCGAGCTCGAAGCCTGTCCCGCCGGCCTGTCCTTTGTCGACGAGAAGGAGGCCAAGACGTTTATCAAGAAGGTGCATGAGCGCGAGAAGCATGCAAGTAAAGAAACCACCAAGACTCCTTTCGCATCTACTCGAGGCCAGGGACCTGCCCCTGTTACCAATGGGAAAGTAGGACGGTCTTTGTTTGGTAGCTTGTTACATCGTTCAAACCCAGCTCCAATTACACCAGCGCCGACAGTCCCTGCGCCTTCGATACAGGTTGCTCCTCCACCTCCGATGTTGTCCCCAAGCCCGCCACCAGCTAAGCCGGATTTACCTTTTGATACGAGTGACCCCTCTTGGAAAGGGCTGCTGGATGAGCTTAAGGGGATGGGAATTACCGAAGATCAAATTGCCGAGAATTCTGAATTCATCAAAACTTGGATTGACCAGAAGCAGGCAGCGGCGGCCGAGCCTGCTCCTGTCGAGGATCACAATAAGCCGAAGGCTGCTCCTCCACCGCCACCTCCTGCACCTCCCGCTCCGAAAGTAACCTCGATCAGTCCTCAGGATACGGGTTCCAGCTCGACAAGCAGACGGGGACCGCCACCGCCGCCGCCGTCACGGAAGACACGTTCTGAAGCACCAGAAGAACCGGTTTCCCTCCTCCCCCTCGTGAGCCATCTCCGCCTGCGCGAAGATTCAATGCACCGCCTCCAATTGCAGACGCAGGAAAATTCGCAGAACCCGCCGGCCCTGTACCTCCACGGCGTCCACGCGCAATTTCGAACGTTAATGCTGGGCCTCCGCCGCCCCCGCGACCACCAAAGACACCGATGGACGATAGCCAATATAATCAATCAAGTCAATCTCGATTTGGGGTACCGCCGCCTTTCTCTGGTGACCGCAAGGTGTCTGCGCCACCGGCACCCCCCAGCCGTAGCCCTGCACCAGGTGGCCCTCCCCCTCCCCCGCCTCGCACAGCAAGCCCAGCAGCACCGCCCCAACTGCCTCCCAAAGTGCCGCCCATGGCCACTACAACTGGACCTCCTCCTCCACCCGCTAGAGGCCCTGTTTCACCCCCACTTCCACCCCCCACCAGCGCCTCGACCCGTGCCAGTTGCGCCGTCTTCTCCTGCAGCAGCTCCTCCACCACCACCAAGAGGACCAGTTGTGCCTCCCCCTGCCCCGCCCTCCGCGCCGCCCTCGGCACCTACGTATTCTCCTAGCATTCCCCCACCTCCGCCGCCTCCGCCGCCTGGCTCTGCAGCGCCCGGTGGCCCCCCACCCCCTCCGCCTCCGGGTCGTGGTGGCCCCTCGATGCCTCCCCCTCCCCCTCCTCCGGCGCCTGTTTCGGGGCCACCGGGTGGACCACCGCCGCCGCCGCCTCCACCGTCTGGGGCACCTGGAGGTGGTGCCCCTCCTCCACCTCCACCCCCTGGTGGTGCTGCACCACCCTTGCCAAAGCCCGCCGGTGGGCACACCGATCTGCTAGCGTCCATCCGAGCCTCTGGTGGCCATGGAGGCGGAGGCTTGCGCAAGGTCCAGGATACGGAAAAGAAAGATCGAAGTAAAGCTATGGTACCCGGCGGTGCTAACGAGTCGTCTGCTACAAGCCCCAATGCAGGGGGCGCCCCGCAAGGTGGTTTGGCCGGTGCATTGCAAGATGCTCTCAACAAGCGAAAACAGAGAGTCAGCGGAAGTGGTATGTCAATTTTAACATGTAAACGCGGATCTATATGCTAACTGTGTTGGTAGATGACGAGAAAGACAACGACGATGATTGGTGAGCGGTTAGTTTTCGGTGGGATTGTTCAAGTATTTCAAGATACCAATGGCTTTTGCGCATTCTTGCGAGCATTGAGCATTCTGTTTCTTGGTCCAGCGTTTTGCCTAAAAGTTTGGTTTCAAGTGTCAACAAAAGAGGGGCAATGCACTTTGTATATAGCTTTTAATGGTAGATGCAGTGGATGTGAGAGATAGTCTCAGTATGAGGAAGTAGATGTTTCTTCTTTCTTCTCTTTCTTGGATGTTGTAGTTCAATTTTCCAATGCTATGGCCGAGCCCTGGAGTGGAGTTTAGCTTACACCGCCATAAATAATACGTAGGTCCATCCACCAGGGCTGTATCATAGTCACCAGTTTCGAGTTCTGCTTCAAAAAAAAAAGAAACAGACCTCTTTTCATCTAATATGAAGTCTGATCCTCCATCTCTTGGGTCTTTGCCTGTCGAAATTCTGTGCTCTATCTTCCGTCTCTTGGACCCCATTGGCCTCATATCCATCAGCCAAACCAACTCCAAATTTCGCACAGTGGTTCAGCCACAGCGAACTCATCTACTGGAGAGGTTGCTTGAACTTGAATGTCGAGAAGAAATCGGAGGAGTCACGCCCGTCTTTCGATCGAGGGACAACCACCTCGATCCTGACTTCACGTCCAAAGAATGGAATTCTGCACGTTGGGCATGTAGTATCTGTCTCCATATGCTTCCACATACAGCATTTGACAATCATTATATCCTACGACTGCAGTACCGCAAGCCATTGCGAGGATCTGCGGCAGCGAGTTCTTACACGAGCTGGGAGCCAACAAGAGAAGGGAAACTCCGCAAACAGTACCATCTACACAAACAACAATCCAACTCCAGGGACGAAGACCGGAAAATACGGCGTCGATATGATCTCGCCTCCAAATGCAATACATTAAGACCGAACCATCCTGTGCGTGATAGGGGTGCAAGATTGGCCAGCTTTCAGGATAGCGGGATGATCACATTCCAAGGCTTTAGTCTGAATGAATACTGCAGTATCACACAAGAGGAAGAGCAGGTTCTTCTAGACCACGAAGCATGGCTCATTGAGAGAGAACGCTGCGGCTTCAAGCGGCACTTGCGCAAGTGCAACGAATGTCGTTTCCGACATGGTGAACTCTCACATATTGTGCAGCGAGGCACAGACAAGGTGCCTATAGTGCCGAGCCGTCGCCTACCATTTCCCAGTGCCTTGGACCGATGTTTCCCAGGTTTTTCTGCCATAATGAAAAGTGTGAGACCGACCGCGAATGCCCCAGTTCAATGCGTGTATCGCAACAAGGTTTTTGATTCTCTCTGGACTATGTATATGCTGCGATGCCCTGGATGTTCGCACTGGCAGGAAATGCGCGCATTTCGTCTGGGTGCCACTTTCAATCACTGGATACCCACCACCAACCCTGCCTCGGACTTCGAAAACTGGGACGGAAGCAAGATCACCGGAAGTTTCATTGATGGTTTATCCTGTAACCATTGTTTTGCTAAATATCAGGGGCGCGAAAAGCTTCGTGAAGTACTTGTGAAATGGTTGGACTGCTGCTTGGATAACGAACGATGGCGGCTAGGAAATATGCTTTTGGGTGGTTGGGAGAGGTTGTTACGACGATACCAGCGACTTGAGCAGGTAAGCGGCGTCAAAGAGGTTAGAAAGGTCATTTTGGACATTCAGCTTGTTGTTGCAAAGTTTCGGAAAGATCATGATTATCTCAGAATTGGCCTCGCCGATATCTTGACGTTGAGGCTGGGCTTTCGTGAGTGGGCTACCGTGTGTGAGACCTTAGACTCCGTAACTCGAAGCCAGTTGGAACACAACCCTTGGGATGGTCTGTGGTTTCACAACAATGAGGTGATTGAGGCACACTTGATCTGGGTGATTCAATGCAAAAGGGAGATAATGGAGAAGGACAAGGGTGATGACCTGGTTGGCTGGGCACTGAGCCGACAAGGAAATAATTTGACTTAAAAAGTTGGTAGCATTCGATACCTACATAGAATCATTATTCCAAATCTCAGAGTACAAGACGTTTGAGAAACAGCGAGTGGTGTTTTTATAGTGATTTGTATACTCCATCCTGATTTGTCGGGTCAACATTGTTCCGGGCACCGGAAAAAAGCGTATCTGATCTGATCGGGAGAACTTGCGTACAGCTCGGTCGATAATCCAGAGACATGCTGTCTCCGAGGTTGTCTGCGCCTTCTGCCTCTTTATTGCGCTTCCTACGATCACAGTCTGGGTTCTCAGCCTCACTATCGGCATGCGCTTATCCGAGGCGTCTTGCCAGCCGTGGTAAAGGCTTCTCGACAGGACCATCCCCGAAACTCTCGAGCTGGACGCGTCTCGATGCTCCCCATGGCCCCGCAACACTTGATACCACAATTTTCAGCAATCAACATGGGAAACCGAACCCCGCTAGAGCAAAAGTGTCCCCGGCATTGGTGCCTAAGCAGCTGAAATTCTCGCGTCATGCGTCTACCAAAAGCCGACCCTTTCTCCGACGGCTTTTCGATCTCAAGCGAAATAAAGATTGCGATTACAAGAATCAGGGCCCGACTAACCCTGGACTTCTGGACGAAGGGACGGAGGGGATGTTTAATATTGGCCGCAGCCTATCAGCTAAGGCGTCAAATGAACTGCGAATTCGATGCACGGAGTTTGATATCAATGGAGACGTCACCCTTGTGAACGGAGAGTTCCGGAAGCAGGAGCTGATTGCCAAGGTTGGTAAAGAGGACTCGAGTTTGAGAGTTGAACATTTGCTAACAGATGACGATACAGTATGGCCTTCTTCCTCGAGATCTACGCAAGATTGATTCGTCGACTCTCCCTCATATCCTAGTGCGACCTAGAGCAATCCTCATCAATCTCTTGCATCTGCGTGTGCTCATTAAAGCGGACCGGGTACTCGTCTTCGACGCATACGGATCAACCGACTCATACATGCAATCGCTGTTCATCTACGATCTAGAAGGAAAGCTTCGCCAGAGACAATCACAGGGTGCCGCTCAGCCTAGTCAATCACTGCCGTACGAGTTTCGCGCGCTGGAAGCCGTTCTCATTAGTGTCACGAGTGGACTGGAGGAGGAGTTTAATGGAGTGAGAGATCCCGTCGTGCGAGTTCTTCGTGCGCTCGAGGAGGACATCGACCGAGATAAGCTCCGGCACCTCTTGATCTACTCTAAGAAACTAGGTACATTTGAGCAGAAAGCTCGCCTGGTACGAGATGCTATTGATGATCTGCTGGAGGCCGATGATGATTTGGCAGCGATGTACCTATCTGAGAGATCGGTCGGCAAAGAGCGAGAAGAGGATGACCACCAAGAAGTGGAGATGCTTCTGGAGTCATACCACAAAGTGTGCGATGAGATTGTTCAGGCCAGTGGCAATTTGGTGACGAATATTCGCAACACGGAAGAAGTGTAAGTTTGATCGTTCATGACATGCGAAAAGCACCTCTAACACAACCCAGAGTCAAGGCTATTCTCGACGCCAACCGCAACTCGCTCATGCTCATGGATCTCAAATTCAGCATTGGAACACTCGGCCTCGCAACAGGGACGTTATTCTCTGCTCTCTACGGCATGAACTTGAAGAATTTCATTGAAGAATCAGACTTTGGCTTCGGAGGTGTCTCTGTGGTCTGCTTTGCTCTGACTGGGCTGGTATGTGTCTACGGTCTCTCCAAACTGCGCAAGCTTCAACGGGTCCGCATGTGGGGTGAATCCGGCGTGGGAGGCTCTACTTTTGCCCCCTTGTCCCCAAAGCGCAGCGCGCTCGGTGGGAATCGCAATAACTGGCGCGCCGATTCAATCGAACCGGTCTGGGGCAGTCTCCCAGGGGAAGGTCGATCTGAGCGCATGAGACGTCTCAAAGAGAATTCAGCTGCGGCTGCCGCTCAAGCTGCATCGAGAAACTTGAAATCGATACCTGCCAATTCCCAGGCTGCTACGCAGGCATCAGCTACGGCTTCTAAAAATGCTCGTGCGGAAAATGGAAACGGTGATAGAAAAGAGACCGTCTCCCCCGAAGCTTCAAAAACCTAATGCATGATGCGCAGTGATTAAAAGATGTCTGATGGTTTGATTGCCTTGGAAATCGGAGCCTAGGCGTTTTGATTTGGACCTTCAACTAATATAGCAACGGAGTTGGAGAGGTCTGTAACATTATTGTACATTATCAAACTCCTTTCTCTATTCCCCCTCACTCTATAGTTTATATTTTATCTAGAGCATATCTGATGAAATACCAATGCCATTCACTTGAATCACGAAAAGTAGAGCAATAGGTAGGTAGCAGTCGTCCATGAATGTTATTGACAGATGGTTAGTTTTATTTGAGTATCTTTATTTAGCTTGGTGTACTGTCCCCTGTCCCTGGTGAAGACTCTTCGTCCGTTCAACCCAGAGCTCAGCAGCTGCCCGAATGCCACCATCCTTGGAGCATTCACGCTCAACCACTTGTATGATATTTTTCAAGACTGTATCCTCTGGGTCTCGCCTTGTTGCAGAATCTGTAGAATCCGAGTTCTTTAGCCACTCCATTGTAACCTGCCCTCGACCTCCAATCAACGCCATGTTAATCGCACCAGGAGTGCGCAACCATGCCTTCTCAACACCGAACCCGATTTCCTCCGCAATACTCATTGTTTTTGCGGCAAGAGATCCAATCATTGAATTCAGAAACCCGCTTTCGGTCTTCTCTTCGATCTTGACCGCACGAAGTGCCCTCAAATCACCAGACGCAGGCTGTAGATTCTGCTCTATGGCATCATCAACAACTTTCCATGCGGCAGGATTGCCATTCGCACTTTTCTCACTTTTCTTCTGTATTGGACCACCTTCTTCTGGCGGAGGATAGCGATACGAAGAGCCAGCAAGTGAACGAGAACAGCACGGGATTACAAAGAATGGTAATGGCGACGAGGGACTCGACAGGGCAGCCATTATAGGAGTCCATACAGTGAGCTCATCCGCGTGGTCGGATATGATGAATGTATTTTCCGGGAAATCGCCGGTATGTATCTGCACGCCGATTTCTTGCAAGTCCAGTACGTCCACAAAAGGCCGGGGAATAAAGATTCTCTCTTCCAGGCATTGCTGTATCTCGGCTGGGAATGTCTCCCAGGACTTTCGACGGCAGGCGTCAAAGCCCTGGCCCTTATATCCTTCCATGAGAAGTACGTACACGAGAATACCATTCCCACAAGCTAGGTCCACGAACCCTGGGAACGGTAATGTGTCTCTCGAGGACTGGTCTTGTTCTGTTGCTGGTATAGCGCCGTACATACTCCTCCACAGTTCAATCAGACATGCAGCAAGAGACAGCTGCTCAAGGGCTTGGTTGGGTGATTCAAGTTGTTCAACCCAATTCTGGGTCAACTTTTCTGCATACTGGAGTTTCAGCCGGGCGTATGTGTTTTGGATGAGATGTGCTGAGACAGTGTCCCCATCTTGATCATCTCGCTCAACCCAATCCAGGCTCACGTTTCTAGACGTGAGTCGGCGTTCCATGTTGGTGATATGGATGAGCGTGAATGAGCGTGGATATTTGTCTGGCAGAATACTCGATAACTTAGCCTTCCCACTTGATGCAAAGGGTACAAACAAAGCGGAGAGAAAGGCGGTAGACTCTATCTATAAAAGCATTAGATGGGAGAGGGCAACTGAGTGGTCCATATATACTCTGTAGTCGAATGGGTAACCTGGGTCTGGCTGGTCAACATAGTCTTAACATTGGTCATAACAAGCGATACAGGACCATGGTCATATGGCCAAGCTGTTGGTTGTATACCAGACTAGTTGATTAGACAAAACAGAACCTCGAGGCCTACCATCGATGTATGCAAAATATCCTGTAAGACAAATTGAAAAGTACATCAAGTGTATTCCCCATAGTCCACAACCCCCAATGTGGAAGATATGCGCATCAATCCGCGGGAAGGTGTAGAGGCTTTCAATGTCATATCGATCCGAGCTACAAGGTGAACTGTCCAGGGACAAGAAGTAATCGCCGTATACGATAGTCGAAGAGATCCAAACTTGAAACACTACGAAGTGCAAAATTTACTAAAAAGCCAAGCGGAATAGTTGAAGATCAACTCCATGTTAATGTTATAGTCCATGTTGTATGGGTGAACAGGGATGATAAGCCTGTTATCGGGGTCCACCATGACGCAAATAAGAAGCCCTGGCCCTGAACTTGTACTTGAACCGGATTGTCTTTTCTTTCCTTTTCCTTTCCTCTTCCACTATATTCAATCCAAATACATACAATGGCTCCTCGATGCTTTATTATCCGCCACGGCGAGACAGAATGGTCACTTAATGGCCGACACACCGGTCTCACCGATCTCCCACTGACAGCCAATGGCGAGAAGCGCATTCAAGCAACAGGCAAAGCCCTTGTCGGAAACGACAGACTGGTTGTTCCCAAGAAGCTCGTTCATGTGTAAGAAATGTCTCGTCCACACTACTGACACTATTCCACTCCGAGGGTATCTAAGTATCTAACACGCCTGTTCTAGCTTTGTCTCACCCCGCGCCCGCGCCCAGCGCACCCTGGAGCTCCTCGAACTTGGGTGTCGGGGACGAATGCCTTGGAATGAACAGGGGAAGCCTGAAAACAGCGAGGCGATTCGGACGGAGGCTGAGGTTGAGGTTACGGAGGCGATTAGAGAGTGGGATTACGGGGACTATGAGGGGTTGACAAGCAAGCAGATTCGCGAGCAACGGGCTGAGAGGGGCGAGGGGCCGTGGAATATTTGGACAGATGGGTGTCCCGGTGGAGAGTAAGTACTTTTTTTTCTTCGTTATCTTCTGATTCTAGGGCTTGATTCCAGCTATGCGTTAAACGTTGGTGTTGTCTTTCCCATTCTAACATCCCCCACCTCCTGCCAGATCCCCCGAGGATGTCATTCGCCGCCTCGATGCTCTGATCGATGAGATCAAAAACAAATACCAGCGTCCCGGCTTCGAGAACCCGGATGAAACCAAGGGTGATGTCCTTGTCGTTGCGCACGGCCATATCCTGCGTGCCTTTGCCATGCGCTGGACTGGAAAGCCGTTGACAGAGACATCGCTGATTCTCGAGGCCGGTGGTATAGGAACACTCAGGTAAGGCTCGGCCTTGAAGTAGAGACAACTTCCTCTTCTGCCGTAGTTTTGAGGAACACAGCTAACATGACTGGGAAATAGTTATGAACACCACAACATCGATGAGCCAGCGATCATTCTCGGTGGTCAATTTGTGGTGGAATAAGATGACACGTCGGTTGGATAGAGAACAAGAACACAGAGGAGAGAGAATATCATATCTCTGCTGTTAGACATTGGACATATGTTAGCATAAGTCATGGAAATCGTCACCCACAGCGTATTGTAAAGCACCGCAACACAATCATGACCAATCTGACTCACCATATCAAATCAAATCAATACTCGATCATGGATAGTTCATCAATTCAATCCTCATCACTCTCCTCCCTCTTGATTTCATTCTCTTGGGAATCGGCCTTCTTGTCTTTGTCCGCATTTCCCTTAACCCCCTCCTCTCCCAGAATCTTCGCAGACCCCATAAACAGCGCCCCAGAATATCCACCTAGAAAGCGCATGTCCCCCGCCTGCACGGCGGTCATGCGGAGTAGGTTCTCTGTGTCGGCGAGGTTGGCGTTGAGCTGTGCGAGCTGGGAATGGAGGTGGGCATATTGCCGCGATTTGGCAGCGGACATAGAAGGAGTTGAGGTATGGAGGTTGTAATTGGGGGTGTATGTGGTGTTTGGGTTTGTATTGAATGTGTGGTTTGTTGTTGTGTTGTAGTTGCCGCTTCCTGGGAGGATTGAGGGGCGGGAGTAGGTGGTGTTTGATTCTTGGCGGCGGTGGATTGGAGGTGGCATTTTGGGTATGATTTGTTTTTGAACCTGGTTCTGGATTCTGGATGTGGTTTTGGTTGTGTACAGACTGGGTTTTGTTTGAGGTTCGAAGATTGTGTTGATTGTTGACATTATTTGACCGCGGGATTGCTTGCTATCAGACCAATCACGTGTTGATACAGACTCTATTTTATACTTCAAACAGAACGTGCATGGCCATTCGAATTTATTTTGTTTATTTGACTAATTGTAGCAACCTCGGAGGTATCAATTCATCTGCTCCTGAGAGGAATAAGGTGCTGTTCAAACGACGCAGCGAATCTGAGAACTGCAGCTGCACCATTTATTAATTTTCTCTGCAAAGCGCGAACCCAGCAGGCAGATCAACACAACTCAATGAACCGAATAAATTCACCCTCCTGCTCTTTTAGAACGCGCCAGAGACCAGACCACACCACACCACAATAAAAGACGAGGCTGTTTGCATCAAGCCAGATGAGAGACAAGGAAAAAGACATGGCAAATGAAGGAAACACCCAGGGGGAGCGAATGATGATAAAACAAACAAAATGAAAACGATAGGCGTATACGGGTCTAGATGGGAAGGGAAAGGAATGCGCCAGCTGGTATTATACAGTCATGCAGAGAGATGAGAAGGTGGGCAGGAGAGCCGACGACGACGTTATATCGACATGATGTAGAGATGAAAAAGGAGGTGGGAGGAAGAGAAACAGCAAGGATAAGGATGTCCCAGGTTAGGCTCGCGCAGTGGCCTCATTAAAAATCGATAATGCCGCGAAACAGGATGAGTATCGATGCAGAGCAAATCACGCACAAAGAAAAAAGACAAAAACACGCACACCTCGTTATCCCAATCACACTCCGAAACAGGGAAGAAAAAAAAAAAAAAAAAGAGCAACGAATACCCCTATGTCCCTCATGTATATGTAAAGAAGCAAACAGCAGAGTATTAACCTGTGCTTTGAGAGCACGGGACCGAAGAATGAAAGTCCCCGCACAATGACACCGTGATGCAAAAAAGGTCCAAACATGACCAATTTTCGGCGGACGATGATCGTCGAAGCCGAGGAAGAATGTTATGCCGAAAAGGGAATTCAATCATGGAACGCCGATCAGCCATTGGGAAAAGCGGACAGAAAACCATCTTCTTAGCGAACGGGCGCCGCGACCCCTTGGCCGCCGAGGCTTACCTGACTGCTGTGAGATGATGGTTCGGAATCAATATTTGCACTGGCTCCACTATCACCACTCCCCGCGCTGGCGCTCGCACTTGCGGTCAGATTCTGGTTCTTAGGAGGACCCTTAGCGGGGAACGCGTTGCTCACCCCATAGTGTTGCTCAATTTGCTGCGGCCCAGCCGCGTTTCCTTGTCCCGGAGGGTACCGCGGCACCGGCGTACGCATGTTACCAGGAGGTGACGGCTGGTCATTGTGAGGTCCACCAGGGGGGCCAAGACTGTGTTCACGCGTCATTGGAGGGCGGCCCATCCGGGGGCCTCCTGGGCCAGGGCCTGCTGGGGGTCCTGGGGGTCCACCAAAGGGAATTACAGGAGTCTGGCTGTTTCGCCGGCTCTGTGGGAAGGGTCGAGGTGGGTAGTCGCCCATATGGCTGGCCGTTAAAGAATTGGCTCGAGAATCGGCGTGCATCTGGTTTCGGTCAACGGCTCCATATCTGTTGGAGGAGTAGCTCATCATGGGATTATCCATAAGCGAATCATGAAGCCCGGGGATTTCTTGCATCACACGTTCGCTCGCGCGTTTTCTGCCAAAGTAGCGGAAGGCCGATGAGGAAGGGCGGCCGCCTCCAGGGGGACCGGCGTTGATACCGAATTCGGGATTTTTACGGAACTGGCTGTGGTTGGGGCCCTTGCGCCCTCGGCGGGAGGTCATGCTCATCATGTCAACATTGTCAGGGTCGATGTGGGGAATGCCCATATTATTCATCGGGTCGAAGTAATCCTCATCTTCTTCATCAAAGGCCGTAGCAGGGCGGGAGGGAGTCGGTCCACGACGTCCTGGGCCAGGAGGCGGCCCCCGGCGCATGCTCATTTCCTGTTCACGCAGCTGTAGCTCACGTTGACGAAGAGCCAACTCGCGCTCCCGTAATGTCAATTCAGAAGCAGGGCCGGGTGCGGGCTCGGGGTACCCATTTCCATTTTGAGGCGGTATAGTTGGTTCGCCCTGTTCGTCATATACAACCAAATGGCTGAATTCTTCAAGTCCCTCCAATGATGGGTCGCGTGGAACTCGGTTGGGGGGTGGCATCGGCATCGGTCCACCTGGGCCTCTCGGCATCATACCAGGGGGTGGGCCTCGTCTTTGTGGCGGGGGCATGTTCATCCCCGAGGGTGTTCGGCTTCCACGCATGGATTGCGGGGTACCATTCGTCATGGGTCGCTGCTGTGGAGGCGCGGAAGACAATCGGGGAGGTGGCTGACCCATGACGGATGCAGGTGGGGACTCCTGCCGGGGCCTGTTCTGGTTTGTGATATTGACGTGATGTAGCACTGCGTACATTGTTTCGATTCGGGGAATGCGAACGTTAGACTCGATTGCCAACTTGATCGGTGACCCCAGGAAAGTCTCGACCTCCATGGGCCGTCGACCCTGGAAATCTGAGTAC